GGTGGTGACATGGATTCGAGAGGACCCGGGTGGAATTCCAGCCCAAGTCTCTGGTGCCACCTTCTCCAGCCTCAGGCAAAGCATGATGGGAACCTACAGCATCTCTTCCACGGTGATGGCTGAGCCTGTCCCCACAGGCGCCACTTACATCTGCCAAGTTAGCCACGTCTCCCTGGAGGAGCCCCTCCGAGTCAGCATGAGGGTTTTCCCCGACACAGGTACTGGGGTGTCCCATCTCTTCCTCTGTACGTCCTCCACTTCCAGGTCCTCTTCAGCCGTGTGCTGATGCCCACGCACTTGCTCCGTTAGCCTCCACACTCCTGACTTACCTTTCCCGGAGTGGCACCTCTACCACTACAAATCCTCAGCCTCCAAATAACAAGCTTGGGCTGGAGGGGGGGTCCAGGGGGCTGGGGGCAGGGTGCTGCTCCTTTCCACTAGGAGCTTAGTACAGCTGGAGAGACAAAGTGAGCAGGCAGGGAAGAAGAGCCAGAACAGCACTTGAGCCCAGTTAGGTAGTTCAGCAGGAAGGGAGCCCTGAAGACCGGAGCACAGTCCATGTGAAAGTCAGATTGTCCAATAGCCTGCAGAGAACTGAGGGAACACGACGATAGCCCGGTAGCCGAGGGTGTATGAGAGACAGGGAGAGAGGCGATGACATTTCAAGGTAGTTACATCTGCACATTTATGTGACCAAACACTGTAAACTCAGCTCTCTAGACTGATTTTAATATTTGATGTGTTTGGGTGTTTTGCCTGAATATAAGTGAACCACGTGCATGCAGTGCTCAGTGATGCCAGAAGTGGGCATCAGACCCTCGGGAACTGGAGTTACACCTGGTTGTCAGCCACCATGTGGATGCTGGGAATGGAACCCCAAGTCCTCTACAAGAGCAACAAGAGCTCTTATCTGCTTAGGCAACTCTCCACCTCCAATGTACTCAACTTTTAAGTAGGGCGTCACACATTACACCTATTTATTCTTGGAAATGGGTCTTACTGTTATTCAGGCCAGTCTCAAACTCCTCTGCCCAAGCAATCCTCCTACTCAGCCTCCTAAAGAGCTGGGACTACAGATACCATCACCATGACCAGCACTCATCTTACAGATGAGTAAGCTGGTATTTGCAGACACTGAACAGTTTGCCCAAGGTTCTCAACCAGTAAATAGTGAAAGGGAAAATGTAACCAGCAGGCAAGCTGAATGTCCTTACAAGTTTGCCCCCTATAATCTCAATGGGCCACACACTAGAACTTCATCCCAAAGGCCACAGAATGTTGCAGTTTTTTTTTGTTGTTGTTGTTTTTTTTTGTTTTTGTTTTTTCGAGACAGGGTTTCTCTGTGTAGCTTTGCGCCTTTCCTGGAACTCGCTTTGGAGACCAGGCTGGCCTCAAACTCACAGATATCCGCCTGGCTCTGCCTCCCGAGTGCTGGGATTAAAGGCGTGTGCCACCACCGCCCGGCGAATGTTGCAGTTTTAAGCAGGAGAGGATATGCACCTCAAAATGAAAGTACCTGAGAGTCCAGAACATCATTTGGTTGCTCAGCAGACTATGAGCTTCCCCAAAACTAAAGTTTTGTTTTAGTTCACATCATTCCCCAGCTATTTGCCGTTCGTCGCTAGTACAACCTCAGTCTCTTTTGAAAACCTTTTCAGATGTCCGAGGTGGAAAGGGGCATAGTGGTGTGTGCCCGTAATCACGGCACTAGAAGGCCGCAGCAGGAGTCCAAGTTCAAAGTCTGGATGCCAGGGAGAGCCTGTCTCAGAACGATGTGAGATGAGGCAGGAAGGACAGTAACACACAGATGTGGCGGTCTGGAACAGCGCAGGTGCTGCTGCCTGCATGGGCCCAGGGCCTCCAGTGAGGGTTCACAAGCACCCACCCCAGAGCTCGCCTCCTAAGCGGAGGGGTGCTCTAGGGTGAGGGCTCAGCATGTGCCGCTCTGCTCACTCTCCCCACAGAGCAGAGAACAGCCTTTGGAGTCATCTGCGGCAGCATCCTCTTCCTTCTCGCCCTGTTGTTTCTGAGGCTTCAGAGACGGCAAGGTGAGTCTGTAGATCAGCCTACTCCTAAGTACCTGCCCATCCAAACCAGGGAGGAAGCCCCAGGGGCCGAGTTCCAGATGTTTCCACTGTGTTCCCAATGCCTGCTTTGGGAATTACCCCATTTGAAACCAATCTTGTTCTATTTTTTTCTCAGCTTCCTTGCCAAGGTCCACCAAGACTATGAGACACTCTGGGTAGCCGCTGTCTTGCCTCCAAGTGAAAAGCAGAGTACCCATGTTCTAGCTACTGAAAGGATCCTGTGCTGAGGTGTGGGACTGAAAAAGTGTAGTAGGTAGTAGGTAGCCATTCCAGCTTTGATCTGGAAGTTCCCACACCCATTGAGGCTTTGGTAACTGTCACGCCTACAAGGCGGGGCCAAGGGAGGACCCTGAAGACCCGAGATCCAGATGGGCCAGCGCTCTCTCTCTGTGCCGGGACCCTGGACGGTGGAGGTGGACCGAGCAGAGCTCCAGAGAACACCGCTGGACTGCGATACACCTTCCCCAGACCCCGCGACCTACCTATCCCTTTATTTGTAAGTTACCCACTAAATAAATCTTTTTAACTACGTGGAGTGGCCTTAATAATTTCACCAATATCTGGCACTCACGTGGGGCAAATTCCAAAGGCCTGGGTGGCTCTCACCCTCAGCCTCCTCCCCGGCTGGCGGGTGAAAAGCAGAGTACCCATGTTCTAGCTACTGAAAGGATCCTGTGCCGAAGTGTGGGACTGAAAAAGGTCTGAAGGAGGCACCACATACAGGAGTGAGGTGGTGGTAGTGGTCTGACAGGCCTCTGCCTTCTTTCACTGTGAGAAGACCCTGGGCTAATGAGCAGGGAGATAACAGCGGAGGGCAGAACTATCTGAGTGGAAGCTAACACTGACGGCCATGTTTAAAGTGAGGTGTTGAAAGTCCAATTCAGGCCAGTGAAGGGAAGGGGGAGGAGAGGAGGGACTAGCCACCACTCACAAACTCTTAACGCTGTCAAAATAAAAACACTTCATGTCTACAGAGCGAAGCTTTTCTACTTTGTCCCCCTCCCTGCTGGTCCAACAGATCCCTGGGTCCCCATCCCTAGCTGCTCCAACTTGCAGTTTCAAGATCTGAAGCAGAGGCCCTCAGAGGCCTGCCAGGGCTACACCCCCGTTGTACAATCAGAACTGAAAGCCCTGATCCTTCAGACAACTGCCAGGAGTTTTGTGATTCTCAGACTATATTCCCTCAGCCACAGGAGAGGCTTCTTGTGCTCATTTCTACGAAGTATGCTGTGGATACAGTACAACTCAGCATATAAAAACTGGATTATGAAGTCTATTATCAAAAAAATAAAACAGGGAAGTAGCTGGAAAGTTCTTCTGTGTTCCCCTCAGTCCACAGCTGCTCAGATCCATGTAAACACACATAGGCTTATATTAACTAAAACTGTATGGCCTAATGGGATAGCTCCCTGGCTAAGAGCACCGACTGCTCTTCCAGAGGACCTGGACTTGGCTCCCGGCATCCACATGGCAGCTCATTACCATCTATAACTTATTCTATAACTTCTTCTGACCTCCTTGGACACCAGGTATGCATGTGGTACCCAGATATACATGCAGGAAGAACAAGTATACACATAAAATAAAAACAAATATATCTTACAGAAACCAGGTCCTCTGAAAGTCCTTTTCAGATTTATTGTTTTATGTGTATGTGCACCTCCTGAATGCCTGGTACCAGGAGAGAACATCAGGTCCCCTGGGACTGGAGTTACAGGTGGTTGTGAACCATCATATGGGTGCTGCAAATCAAGCCTGGGTCCTCTGTAATAGCAACAAGTGCTCTTAACCCCTGAGCCAACTTTCCAGCCCTAAATAAAATTAAATAAATAAAACAGGAGTGTGGTGTATGTACTTAATCCCAGCACTAAAGAGGCAGAGGCAGGCAGATCTCCAAGTTCGAAGCCAGCCTCATCTACAGAGTGAGTTCCAAGACAGCAAGGGCTCCACATAGAGAAACCCTGTCTTGAAAAAACAATAAAAATCCCCTGGGCTGCCAGGCAGTGGTGGCACACACCTTTAAGCCCAGCACTGGGGAGGCAGAAGCAGGCAGATCTCTATGCATTTGAGGCCAGCCTGGTCTACGGAACTAGTTTCAGGACGGCCAGGGCTGTTACACAGAGAAACCCTGTCTTGAAAACATAAAAAAGAAAAAAAAAATCCCTGGGCTTAGAAGCCCGAGAGCAGTATCTTAAAAGGAGGTGGTGGAGGGGCTGGAGAGATGGCTCCGTAGTTACAAGCACTGGTTGCTCTTGCAAAGTTTCTGGGTTTGCTTCCCAGCACCTACATGGTGGCTCACACCATCTGTAAATCCAGTTCCATGGGATCTGATGCCTCTTCCAGGTGCCAGGCACACATGTGGTGTAAATACACACCTGCAGGCACACATGTGGTATAAATACACACCTACAGGCACACACTCACATGCTTAAAAAGCACAGGAATAGCTCTCAGAGCAAGCTTGATGTTCAGAAGATGTTAGTCTGGAGAATGCGTTTATGAGACAAGCTCGGTGGTACTCACTGGAAACCCCTGTCTTGAAAACCAAAAAACCGAAAATCAAAATTAAAGGGGAGGGGCAAACTACGCCTGAGGGTGAGAAAAAGGAGGTATGGGCTAGAAGCCTCATGTCGAGGCCACTGGGGGAGGCCTGAGAAAGCCTGCAGCTGTTTGCCAGTCTGAGGTGCCCACTCAGCTTCCTGTCATCACTTCCTCTCAGCGGCACCTGCAAGGGTTGGGTGCTTCAGGTACGAAGGCTAAGGGCACAGACCACTTCCTCTGTCAAGAGAGACTTGAATTTCCAGGAAGACCAATGAACACACACCAGTCAGCCCTTCTGGCCTACAGCCAACCTAGGATGACACCCTCTTCTCCCCGTCCCCAGCACAACAACCCAAGGAACAACCAAGCCCATGTTGTGGTAGGAATCTGTATTTTTCGCCTTCGTTGAGAATACATGAAATTGGTAGATATGTCACATGCCTTTGGTGGAAATACAACTCTTACTACTCTATACATAAACTATGAGACTGGGTTAGGAAACAGACAGAGGGGATGACAGACACAATGGAAAGCCCACATCGTCCCATGGCAAACCAAAGAAGGGGATGTGGGAAGCTTGGCTTCAACTGGCTGCAAAGTCCCAGGGTTTAGGTGCATATTTGCTCATGCACATGGGCTGTGGGAAGGAAAGGAGACTGCAAAGACGTAGAAGAGGGTTCAGGGTGGGGTAAAAAAGAAAGTAGAAGGGCAAACACCCCAAAAGAACAGAACCAACTACACCTGGTAAGCCTTAGAGGGACAGAAACCCAGAAGAATTCCCGTGCTAGGGCCGGGTGGGCCAACAGGGTAAATTTGCTCCAGGCTCGGAGTACATCGAGGACAGTGTTGGTTCTTCTCCGGCGGTGACCCCCCTGCATTAGGCAAAGAGAAGCCCAGAGGATAGTGGAGACCTTCGAGAGGAACGTTGGGAGAGGACACTGACCGCTTTCTTCCAGCTCTTCAGTCCTGCCTCGAGGCAGGACGAAGGGAATGTGGGAAATGGGCAACGGGAAAAGAAGGATGGTTTTGCAGAATGAAATGCTGCTGCGTGCAAAGTGGGCACCCCAGGCTAGCACGGCCCCAGCCTCTTCCTGCTTGTGGACCCGAGGATAGAAGTAAAGAAGGTCTAAATCCCCCCTCCTGCTCTCCTCCACTAGCACCTGGGTTTATCGCATGCAGCATCCTATCATGAGGCTCAGCAGCGGCTCCCAAGACAGACCGAGCAGCGCCCATCCTCAGGTTTCAGCGTCTATACACACAGAGCATGCAAGGGAGTAAAGAAAGGAGGTGATGCAGAATTCAGATGGGTGAGGACGGCTCCAGAGAAGGGACTGGAGGAGGAGCAGCAGACAGCTCCAGATGCAAGGCCCCACGCTGGCACAGCAGGGCACAGCACACCTGTCACAGGCTGGCACCCCTCCCCCCCAAGACTGAGCTGCGGGGTTTGGTTTGCTGGACTTGTGTAAATCTGTAAAGGTCCTCCTGCCTCATCCCTATCTCAGGCAAGAACATGGGAGTGGTGTGGAAGAAGGGGTTCTGTGGGAGCCTGGGGGTCTCACCGTTTCACACCCATTTCCCATTATCAACAGCAAGGGAGGTCGAGGGAGGGACTTCATTAACGAAACGGCAAGAGGCATGTTCCCGAAAGTCTGCTATCTTCAAAGCCGATTCACTGGGATTATTTGGTGCCCTCATGAACACAGAATGCTTCAAAAAACACGAGGAGACAGCAGCTCCTTCTAGCCAGAAGAAAGTGGGAGAGCTTCTAGGAGAAACTAACGGTCTCCTGCTGTTTTATAACCAGGAAGTACTTGTTTTCTAGGCCTCCAGAGAACAGAGTGAAAGGCTGTAGAGTTCCCCAAAGACATAGAAAATCTTGGACTGACAGATAAGCAGTAACTACAAAATACAAGTTGGACTTTCTAAAAGGGATTCAAAATTGGCCTTTAAACAGACCTCTGGGACCCGAGACAGGCCTGGTGTGAGGGAAAAGTTCCAAATGAGGGCAGCAAGGTAGTGGTGGTTACCAACTAGTGTGTGTGTGTGTGTGTGTGTGTGTGTGTGTGTGTGTGGTGTGTGTAAAACAGGCAGCAGGCTACGACTTCCCAACCAGTCTGGGTCCCCTCCTGCTGAGGCCAGCCTTTCTAGGAGACACTATGGACACAAATACCATTCTCCTTCCCTCAGCCATGCCAACTTCTCAGACACTTCATCTCTGCCATTCCCATTCCCCTCCCCCTCTTCCCTTAGCCACAACTCTTTCAAGCTCTGGGATACACAAAAACTGGGTAAAGAGGAGGTGCCAGCCATTGCTCTTTGGGTAGTGACTTCAAGACTGTGCCACGAGCAGCATTTCTAGTGTCAAGGAAGAGAGTGCAAACGTATGCAACAAAAAAGGAGGTGTGGATGGCGGAGAAGCCTGGGCTGAATGGAGAAAGGCAGATGGAGGAGTTTGTTGAGAGAGCAAACCGAGAGAAAAAGACATGAGCTTGGATGGCAATGGAGAACAGGGAGGGATGGCACATTCTCAAGTAAAAAAGTAGACTGGACACAGGAATCAGGAAGTCCCAGACGAAGAAGGAAAAAGAGACAGGAGAAAACAAGAGGGCAAGTTACATCACGTTACTAGACAGTCAGGTCTCTCAGTTACAGGTACCCCAGCCCAAGGTCTCCCTTGGACCCAAGCCAGTGACAAACAGCACATCCCCACTCCACAGCCGAAGGGGCCATCTCCCCACAATTCTTTGCAGGGAGAAGCTTGTCCATCAAGGGATTTCCTTGTCTTTGCCCTTCCTCCCGCACAAACCAGGCAATGGTCCCACAGCAGCAGTCTCCATACCTCAGTCAGGGCAGCCCCACTCCCCAGGCAGGCAGGCAGGCAGGCAGGGCTGGGAGAAGACTCCAGGACCTTCCCACCTCTTCACCCCATCCAACCTCAGCGATACTTACTTACAATAACTACCACGATGATGGCACAGATAGCTCCCAGCATAATCATCATCTGAGGAAACACGGACAGAACGTGAGTCCTGGGACTTAGGGCGGAAAAGGGGAACGGGACTAGAGATGTGAGGACACCCACAGACCTCTGCTTCTCAGAGGATCGTAAAGGAGGAGCAGAGGACCCTCAGCCTCATTTTTGTTCAGTTCCTGATGCCTGATCATTCTTTCTTGGAATTCCAATTGAAAGGCGAATCTTTTTTTTTTTAAGATTTTATTTATTTATTATGTACACAGTGTTCTGTCTGCACACTAGAAGAGGGCATCAGATCTCACTACAGATGGTTGTGAGCCACTATGTGGTTGCTGGGACTTGAACTCAGGACCTCTTAAAGAGCAGCCAGTGCTCTTAACCTCTGAGCCAGCTCTCCAGCCTGAAAGGCAAATCTTGTGACATGTTTGCTGCACTTACAGAAGTTGTGGGTATTTGAATACATATACTGAGCCAGTGTTTTGCTGTTGGGGGTCTGAGGAAGAGCCAGGTGAGAATTTCTGGGAAAAAGGTACTTCACTCGTCTAAATTCTAAATTCCTCTACATAGGGCTTTCTCTGTGGGTCTGAATCCTCTAGCCTACCCTGGTGGCCAAGACAGGTACTGCATTGATATGATTTTCCTTGATAGGAGGCGTCCAGATTTCAGAAGGGAGCTAGTGGTTTTCTTGCCTCCTACAAGTGGGACCAGGAAAAGCCGGAGCGGGTAGGGGAGCTCACCTTGCAGTTTTTCCACCAGTACTTCCTTTTCAGCTTGGCAGCACTGCTCTCAAACTGTGATGCTCCTGCCTGCAAGGCGTCAGCTCGGTCATCCAACTCCGACAGCTTCTGGTCCCTCTCCAGGACCTTGTCCACATTCACACGCATGATGTCCACCACCTGAGGGGGTTGCAGAAACAGAGCTGCTGAGATTTCTCCACTAGAGACAGAGGAAATGAACAACACCTGGGAGATCACAAGCCAAGACCTGTGAATCCAAGGGATGCTTTGCCCGTCAAAACCTTTCTTTCTCCCTTTAAGAAAGAGAACAGAGGAGATGATGCTTCCTGTTTCTAAGCTTCTTGGTTTGGAAACTCTCATAGAGTGGGCCAGGCGCCTACCTCCTCCACTTGTGCCTGGGTTTGCTGGAGTCGTCTATTACTGGTCAGATTAGGAGGAGGACCAGGAGGACCCCCACCGGGGGCAGCCCCTTCTGTTCCTTCAGCAGGTGGCTGAGCTGGAGCAGACCTGTGGAGAGAAGCAAACAGTACCCAAAGTGACTGAGACAAGAGGAGAATCACATGCATCCTCACTTACACCGCCAAAGCCAAGGTTGAATGCAAACAGAAGGTAGTTTAGCTCCTCTGCAATCCCAAGTGCTGAGGTGCAGCTTAGAGATGTGGAGCAAAGGATGAAAGATCTCCCACCATTTGGATGAGGGTCACAGTGCCGTTAAGAGATCTTGACTGGGGCTATCTTGTGACACAAACTCAAGCACATCCTCTGGCAAATGGCCACAGGGACAAATAATACACCAGCCTTGACCTAAATGGAATCTGCCTGGCCATTAGAAGCTCCTCACCTGAAATAAAATGGGGAAACCCAAGCCAGGAGAGGAGAAATTTGTAGAAAAGACTAACCTGTAAGGACAACTGAACTCTGGTTTGAATATAAAAGGGGCAGGCTAGTGATCCTGCTTATGGGGGTCTGGTTACCAATTATGTTTTATACTGTAACTGGTACACTACAGCCGCTTCAGAGACAATTTGGAGAATCACCAAAGGCAAAGTCTGTATAGATGCAGTGAGTCAGGGATATTTGCGTTATTTTTGGCAGAGAAGATAGGGGTTTCATTTAAATTGAATCTGGGGCCTAAAGCAATTACATTAATTGTTTCAAGAGCACAGACGAGAAGTAAAAATGCTAGAAATAATCAGTGTGCATGCAGCACAGATGTTCTGTCCCACCCTTCTTCAGACTTGGCAGTGTCTCAGGATACTCTCCTAGGCTCCTGTGTCAGAAGAGAAAGTTTGAACCACACTACTACACAGCATATGAGGACTGTCTCTCTTCTGGTACCACTGAAGACCAAGAGTTCTCACGGCCTTAGAAGGCAATAGTCCAGAGTGGGTTTGTTTTTGTCTTGATTTGTTTTTTGGTTGGCTGGTTTCTTTTGGGGGGGTTGTTGTTGGGTTGGATTTTTTTGTTTTGTTTTTTTGAGACAGGTCTGTCCTGTTCCCTAGCTGTCCTGGAACTCTCTATGTAGACCAAGCTAGCCTAAAACTGACATCCACCTGCCTCTGCCTCCCAAGTGCTGGGGTTAAAGGCGTGGGCCCACATGCACAGCAAATGTGATGTCTTTTAGATAAACTTCTCTCTCACATTCACCAGATAACAATCTCCCAGAATCAAACCTACAAAAGATTTTTTTCTGCTATGATGGAGGCTGCATAAGCAAGGCAAAGAGAGATATCTAAAATTTGATGGAGAATAAAACTTTTTTAAACTCCATAAAACATCCTTGCCAGAGCAGTCCAAGAATAAATAAGGTAGAGGTTAAACCATCACAAAGTTGCCAAAAAAAGAAAATTCCTTGATTAATCACAATAGAATTAATACTTTGAATCTCCTTTTCCATAATGAAGTGAAATTTTCTTTTAGACAAGATGTTACAGCCCCTCAGAGAGGCCATATTAACAGATTACACTGGTTTCTTCCATTTAAGGAGTCACTTTCCCATTTCCTTCCTAGACACAGAGGGAGGAAAGGAAGACGCAGAGCTATGGGAGCCACACGGCTTGCACTGATATTGAGCTAGCTAAGCAGTCTAGTTTCAGGCTGAAGGCAGGGATTTCAATGAGTTGGTAGCAGCTAGTGTTGGAAGGAGTCCAGGACAGTGGCACCAATGACAAGACTAAGGTCAGAGACCTCGTGACTCCCCGCTAGCCATCACGCTTTCTGTCTCCCTTCAGTCAGCGCACATGAAACCACCTGGAGTGAGGTGGCTAACGACCCCTCCCCAAATAAAAACAGCTGGAGTCTATGGGCTTGTCAAAAACGCACAGAATGTTAAAACCACAGAACTCAAAGAGAAAGGATGAAATGACTGTAAAGCTTTTAGAGGGCTCACTTCACTTACTACTTGTTGGGAGCTAGAAACACTCCATATTAACCTATCCAGGGAGTTATAATCCTTATGTAATACAAGTAAATCTTTTTTTATTTTATTTTCAATCATCAAGAGAAGCAACAGAAGCCCAGTGTGGTGGTGCACACCTTTAATCCCAGAGCTCGGGAGGCAGGGGCATACATATCTCGAGCGAGGCTAGCCTGGTCTACAGAGGGAGTTCTGGGACAGCCAGGCCTACACAGAGAAACCCAGTCTGGAAAAGCCAAATAAGGGAGGGAGGGAGGAGAGAGGGAGAGAGAGAACGCAAGCATACACACACACACACAAATACATCTAGCACCAGGCAATAAATAGAAAGGAAATCCTTCATTATGTGTATGTGATCATGAAGGGAAGTTCTTAATATATCTAGTCACAGATCTTCAGAAGGGGGTGATGCTGAAGTCAGCTAAGACTAAATTATGTGTTTTGGATAAAATGAAGAATTCACTCTTCTCCCTATTTCTCCTCCAATACTTGGCTAGGACTTGACCACTGGAAAGCACCTTAGCATAATGTCTTTAAGATTATAAAACGGCTGCATAGGATCTCATGCCACTGTCCCCCGGGACTTTCTGAGCTGCTCCCAAGGCGCCACAGAACTAGCAAGTAAGTTTCTGCAGCTTTGCTCACAGCCATGAGGCAGGAACAACATACTTTGGGTGAGGGGCATGCACAATCCCAGAGACTGCGGGCAACCCGAGTTACCAATGGACAGGTGCACCTATAAAAGTCTTCCCACAGGCTTTAAGAGAGATTCTGTCGAACAAGCAGGGTCTCCCAGTTCCCGTCTGTATCTATACCCTCCCCCCCCCCCCATTTCTTCCCCTTTGAGCTTCCACGATACAAAGACAAGAGGAGAGGATGCAACGAACGTGGGACCCCCGCGCCCCTGCCCTGCAGAGGAGTGCCAACTGCAGTTGGTGCGGGATGGAGCGCTGCCCGCATCCCGGGGTGGCCCGGTCCGGGGGCGGCGCGAGCCGGTGGTTCCCGGCGTCGCTGCAGCTGCTGCAATGCGCCATTTTCCGTCCCGCAGAGTTGGACACTGCGGAGGGAGAGTCGGTAAGGAGGTGTCGAGGACCCTAGACCAGAGTCAACTCACATTTTTCTGACAGAGGAAGTCCGTCCCTCTCTGGAGAATGCAACGAGACAGACAGGGAGACGCTGCGGATGAAGCAGACGGAACTGCCGAGCTCCGCCTCACACGCACCACCCGGAACTCTAACTGCGGTGGAACTTTACTGCAGGTGCAGCGCCGACTCCCGGCTTTATTAGCGAGGACCCCGCCTCTCGGATGACGTAAATTCTCTAGGTCCAATCCACGCGGGGCATGTCCCTCCAGCACCGCCCCTACAACTAGACCAATCACAGTTCTCCTCTCATTCATTCCTACTCCTTGACTGGCCAATACAACAGTGGTTTGTTTCACGTCCAGCTCAGACTCCAAGGGCAGCCTCAGTGCTTGAGTTAGGGCTTTTACGGTGCCTGCCAACCAGTCGCTGAGCTGGAGGCTCCTGCCACTCTTACTGCTCCCGCCCACAGCACCTGGTTCAGCCCTGTGTGCATATTCGTGGTTCCCTGGCTAGACTGCCACCCTGTCACCCTCCCTGCCTGAGAATGTAAAGCCAAATGTCTTTCAATGGAGCCTCTCCTAAATTGCTAAACAGCTCCTTCTAGGTAACCACAGCGACTTAGTTAACCCAGCCCAGAAATCTGAACTGAACTAGACGTCGCTATTTTCGGGTTTGTTTGTTTGTTTTTGAGGGTTTTTGTTTTGTTTTGTTTTTAATTTTTTCACTTTCTCTTTCTTTTTTTTTTAAAGGTTTTTTTCATTTATTATTATTTTATGGTACAAATTTTTACCTGCATGTATGCATGCCTAGTGCCCTTGGAGACCAGAAGAGGACGTAGCCCCTGGAACTTGAAATACAGATGGTTTTAAGTGTATGTGAGTGCTGGGAACCAAACCCTCTACAAAAGCAGTATGCTCTCAACCACTGAGCCATCTCTCGCTAGCCCCATCCTTTCCTCTTTACCCTACCTCCAAAAATTCATTAAGGAATAGATTTTTCCTTTTTTTTTTGGTGTGTGTGTGTGTGTGTGTGTGTGTGTGTGTGTGTGTGTGTGTGTGTGTGTACAACATCTCACTATGTAGCCCTGGCTGTCCTGGAACTCTCTCTGTAGACCAGGCTGGCCTCAAACTCATAGATACAAGCCTGCCTCTGCCTCCCAAGTGCTGGGATTAAAGGCGTGCGCCGCCGCCGCCACGGCCGCCGCCACCACCACCACCACCACCACCGTGCCACTTTTCCTTCTTAATATTTAAAGAATTTTCTTCTTTCTTCCAATAGTATCCCTTTCCTAGACATCAACTGTGAAACTCAACATTATTTTATGCCCCACATTTTAAAAAGCAGTTATAAATGTGATTATAAATATGATGCATTTTCTTAGCCTTAGAATTTTTATTTTACATTTATTGAGAACTTGGGTTTGTCTGCAGTGTAAATTTTATCTCATCTTTGGGCATTCATACAAAGGAAAATAGAAAATAACATAATAATGGAACACCTACAACTTTACATTCAGAGGCTTTTTTTTTTTTTTTTTTTTTAAACAGAGGCTCTTATAGTCCATGCTGGCTTCAAACATATGTAGCCAAGAATGACCTTGAAGTTCTGGTCCTCCTCCTTGCACTCCTAAATGCTGGGATTACAGAGGTGTGCCACCATGCCTAGCTTCTGTGGTGTCCTTTTGCATGCTAGCCAGTCACTCTGCCAACTGAGCTACATCCCTATCCCCCAAAGACTAGTTCTCAGTGATTCACATTTTTTATTCAGATGTCCACATGTTAAGTCTTTGGTGATGCAGCATTTCCTAAAATACTAAAGATAGCCCTCTTCTCCCTCTGGAATTTTCTTTCAAGCCTCTGGCATTCATTTTTAAGTTTTGATGCTCATGAGGAAGTATGACAAATACAATGTGAGTACTACCTGACTATAGCTACAGCAAAGCGTTCCAATTTAATAGATGCCAAAATGACAAAAGAAAGAGGGAAGGGAAAGGGGGGCACCCTAGAATCAAGCCTGTGTCCAACCTTGAGACCAGGGTACCTCTCTAAATACTATAATCAGCATACATGACATTTATTCTCTTTTTTACAATTGATACTTTAAACTCTATTTTTGTTTTGTTTTTGTTTTTCAAGACAGGGTTTCTCTGTGTAGCCCTGGCTGTCCTGGAACTCATTTTGTAGACCAGGCTGGCTTCAAGCTCAGAGATCCACCTGTCTCTACCTCCTGAGTGCTGGAATTAAAGGTGTGCACCACCATGCCTGGCTCTTACATCTTTTTGCCTCATGGAGGATTTGACTTGGTTTGGTTTTCTGAGATGGATCAAGTGATACTCCCACTTCAGGCTTCCAAGTACTGGGATGACACTAATGGGCATTTAAAAAAATATGTTCTTGAGTTAACAAGAAAGTAAACATGGTCTAAAGACCAATGCAAGTGATAGCTGATACTCCTAGAGGCAGCTGAGCATTGAGCTTGAGCATGGTGGCCTCACAGGGTGCCATTGTACCATAGGAAACAACATGAAGGTCTTCCTCAAAGTTAGAAATCGAATAGAAAGTCCCTACATGAGGCTGGAACCCCTATATTGGCAACTAAGACAACTAAGAGCTTTAAAGCGCTGCCACTCATGTTCTGCAATTTCTGCAAAAGAAATTATTTGCAAACTAGGTGCCTGCTGAATCTCTCTCTCTCTCTCTCTCTCTCTCTCTCTCTCTCTCTCTCTCTCTCTCTCTCTCTCTCTCTCCTTTTGAATATTTGAATTCATAACCTCAAACTATGTTTTTAATACTTTTGCCTGAAGTCCCTGTTTTAGTCACCATTGAAAGCTTTAGCATCTCCTCTTCCTAAAATCAACATGGCAAGAATTTCCAAGTGGTCTGGGGATGACAGAACCCAGCACCAGCAGGAGCGATGCAGACCTCCCTGGAGAGCTCCCTTGCAATGAGGCCCTGGGGAATTTCCACAGAGACAGTTCCAAGAGGAATAAATTGTGGTCATATGCTACAAACAAATCAGGGAAGAAATGCCAAGAATCAGAGAGGCAGAGACAGGAATTAAGGAAATTAAAAAATCATGCCAAGCAGTTCAATGTCTGAGTAATAAAGGATCTGAAAGGGAGAAAAGAGGATATATGAGAAAAGGAAATGAATGGATATGGAATTAATTACAAAATAAATGCAACAAAAGTTTCTAGAATTAAACAAGGCTTTCCAGACTGAGTAGTGGGCTCTAGCCACCATGGTGAAAAAGAACCACACCGAAGATGCGTCTTTCTGTAATCTCATAACAAGGGAGGAACACAGGGCTTAAAATCTTTCAGAAAGAGAATAAAAATGGAACAGGAAGAGAATGGCATCGCAATACAGGAAAACATGGCGCTGGCTCTTTTAAGAGCCACAACAGCTTCCAGGGGCTAGAGAGATGCTCAAAAGATCAGAGCACTGGCTGCTCTTCCAGAGGACCCAGGTTCAGTTCTCAGTGCCCACACGGTGCCTCACGACCGTCTGTAACTCCAGGGCCAGGGGATCTGACACCCTCTTTTGGCCTTCACAGGCACTGCACACACATACACAAACATACACAGAAGTGAACACACCTTCACATATACATAAAATAAACATTTTTACCTGGGCAAAACAATTACTAACCTAGAATTCCTTATTTTTTGTTTGTTTGTTTGTTTTTGTTTTTTGAGACAGGGTTTCTCTGTGTAGTTTTGGTGCCTGTCCTGGATCTCACTCTGTAGACCAGGCTGGCCTCACACTCACAGAGATCTGCCCACCTCTACCTCCTGAATGCTGGGATTAAAGGTGTGCACCACTGGACTTAACCTAGAATTCTATAACATCTCAGGTATTAATAAGGGTGAGAGGAAACTGGGGCTGGTGTCATATACCTGTAATTTCACCACACAGGAGAGACTGGACAAGAGCGTCATTTGAGGCCAGAAGGTCAAATCAGCACCACGTGCCCTGACTAGATTGGGAGAAAGTACACCCTACGATAGACAGTCCCCAGGCAAGACACTAATGAAGTATCTGACGTGCTTAGGCATTTGGAAGCTGGTTTGGTTAGTTTTCTATTGCCATGACAAAACACCATGTCCAAGGCAACCTATAAAAGAAAGTATTTAATGTGGGGGCTACTGTGGAATATTACTTTAACTATGCAAAGATGTGTTACATTTGTTTAATTCTGTAAAGATATGTTACTGTTTTATCTTGCCTGCCTAAGGCATCTGATTGGTCTAATAAAAAGCTGAATGGCCAATAGCTAGACAGAGGAGGGATAGGCAGGGCTAGCAGGCAGAGAGAATAAGTAGGAGGAGAAATCTAGGCTCCAGAGAGAGAGAAGAGAAAATGAGAAAGAGAGGAAGACACCAGCTGCCAGACAGACAGACATGGAAGAAGCAGGAAAGTAGGACATACAGAATGAAAGAAAGGTGAAAAGCCCTCGGGGCAAAATGTAGATGAAGAAAAACAGGTTAAATTAAGTTATAAAAGCTAGTGGAATAGGCATAAGATAAGGCCGAGCATTCATAATTGGTAATAAGTCTCTGTGTCATGATTTGGGAGCTGGATGGTGGCCCAAAAGGAAGCCTGCTTCAGGGGGCTCACAGTTCCAGAGGGTTAAAATGACAATCACAGCAGGAAACTTGGCAACAAGTCAGCTAGACCTTACATCGGCCCACAAGCGTGAGGCAGAGATAGTGAGAGAACTAAGTCGGAATGGCTGGATTTGTTAAACCCCAAAGCCCACCCCCAGTGATACACCTCCTCTAACAAGGCCAAACCTTCAAATAATTCCCAAAGAGTTCCACCAACTGGGGACCAAGATATGAGCCTATGGGGACCATTCCCATTTAAGTCACCAGAGAAACTAACCTGAACAAATGTTCCACAGATCTTATAGGGCATAACTTGAAGAGAAATAAGGCTAATCTTCAGAAAAAATCAATTATGGTGTTGGGTACACAGCTCTAAAGACACAGAAGCTGCTGAAGTGGGAGAATTACAGTGTACTCACGTTAATCTCTCTCCCATCGCCCTATAAGGTGGTTTCCCATGACTTTTTCTTCCTCTTTGAGGTCTTTCCTCTCACTAGTGAGCAGCCCTCACCGTTAAGTTTTCAGCAGACACAAGATCCACCCAGACCAAGGGCAGGGCTACACCATGAC